AAAATATTTTATTAGTAACAAAAAATTACCAAAGCTCCCATAAAAATTAATATTCGGCATAAAATAAACCATAAAAGTTAGAAATTCGTTAAACAAACACACTAAGCCACGCCAGCTATCCATTACTTTTACAAGAGACAAATCAGACTGAAAACGGTGTAATGCCACCATATATGAAGGAGATACTGTTAAAACTTGACTAAGGCATGGAATAATAATGCAACACAAAATGTACTTAGAACAAAATGTATTGAAACAAGAAAGTGTACACAATATTTACATATAGTCTTTTGTATATTCCTGGTTAGACCGTTCCTGGAGAATGTGTTGACTTAGTAGCAGTCTAGCAGAGTCTCTGGATTGAATCTCTTGATTCCTCCCTCTCTTCCCGGTACCAACCATATTTATATGGTCGGTTCTCCACTATGCAAATTAGGTGGATCCTACCACAACAGATACCCAGTCTTCCTTTTCCAGTTTCGATAGCGTTCGAAAGCGTCTGACGTCCTTGTGGGTGATGAATACTATAACCGCTTTCTAAAAGGCGAAACGTCGCAATCCTCTCACCGTCTTATCGCACTTTGAATGGAAAGTGTTCAGAGAATTACATTCTTTAGTTCGACTTGTTCAGAAGTTCACGACTAAGACACGCCACGCCACACATAATGGAACAGACAACCCTTATTCAGTAACATCTTCGAACGAACAACTGTTTTGTGCAACAAAATCCCAAGGGGGTACTTCTTCTGTTACTACAATCCTAACCTGTCCAGGTCTATAGTTAATCATTATCTTCTCCAAATATCCTCATAAACTGTGTCTCTTACTCTGTAGACCTCTACCCCGAGTGGCTCTTTGATTTTGTACAGGTAAGTAAAATAATACAGTGTGTCCCCAAAATTATATACACACTTTAACAGATGATCGCTTAAATAAGTTTTATTTTCTTTCCAGATTAAAACCATTAGAATTAAACTATGCTTTGAACAAAGGGAATTCATTCGAAAATGCTAATGGAGGCGGTAAAACGCAGTTGAAGTGCAAAGACAGTTTAGGAGGGAGCTTCAAACACATCCACCATCACTCGAAGTAGAGAGAAGTTTGAAGCCAATGGAACTTTTCAGAATGTCCACGAGAAACGTTCCGAAAGACCACGGACATCGACAAGCGGCAGAGAATACTGGAATCGTATTACAAAAGACCAAGAAAATCTGTTCCGCAAGCGAGACGTGAGGTAGATATTTCAAAATCATCTGTTCGGCGCATTTTGAGGCGCTGTCAATGGAAAAGTTACATTCCTATGCTATTAATGACGATTATCTCGACCGAAGTGTGGTATATTGTGAGTGATACTTGGCACGAAGGGGAGAAGGTATACACGTTCCATCAAGGACTGTGTGTAGTGATGAGGCTATATTCAAATTAAATGGTTCAATTAATCATCACAGTTGTACTTACTGGGTATATGAGAATCCGCATATTATGGTGGAACATCATGTTAATTTACCAGGAGTTACACTGTGGTGCGGTTTATCATCAAGAGGATTAATTGGACCTTTATTTTTTGACGTTTCTGTAACTGGTTCTGTTTGCTTGATCTGGTTGCAACAGTCTGTCATACCAAGTGTTAGAGAGGATTTAAAAAAAAAGTTTTATTTGCAGCAAGATGGGGTAACCCAATACTACCATCACGATGTTAGATCCTACGTTGATGAGAAAGGGGTTTCTTGACGAAGGGTTTTCGTAGAATACCCTCGGCGTTCACCCGACCTCACAGTACTATGGGATATGGGGATAATTAAAAGACAAAGTCTACTCAATAAAACCTGCAACAGTCACTGAACTGAGAGCAATCATTTAATAAGAATTCACAAAAATAGCAAACCAAATATATGACGATGTTTGCGATTCCACTGCTTCGCATTGTCAGCAGTGCCTGGGCCAGAACGGACGTCAGTTTGAAAACAGGTGTTAACAAAACATTATAATAATGTCTGCAGATTCTATTAAATTTTGAAAATGAAATGCATTTTAATAAAAATTTATAATTATCGGGTCATCCCATAAGTTCTGTCCGAATTTTAACTTTTTGTTAAAATGAACGAAATTTAAAATGTATTTTAGAATGTCTAATAGAGCTGAACATTATTTTTATGTTTAGATGCATTTAAGCTGATCAAATTTTATTTCAGAGAACAATAAAATTAAATTTTTTTTCATTAAAACCCTGCTAACATGGAAGTACCCAAGAATCATTTGAGACACATAATTCTTTATGAGCTCAAGAAAGGAAACTCCGCAGCCGAAGCGGCGAGAAACATTCACTCAGTTTATAGTGAGGAATGTGTGAATGAAAGAACTTGCAGAAGATGATTTGCAAAATTCAGAGGTGGAGATTTCGCCCTTGAAGATGAAGATCGCACCGGACATCTAGTTGAGTTTGATGAAAAGCTACTTGAAGCAGCCCTTGAAGAAAATCCTGCTTTATCAGTTTAGGAGTTGGCAGTGGTTCTCAGTTCAAACCATACAAATGTTCATCGTCATCTTCAATAACTTGGAAAAGTTCCTAAACTTGCAAAATGACTCATGAATTGTCTGAAAACAACCTCAAATCCCGAGTTGACATCTGCCCTTCTCTCCATTCTCGCCAACTTGTTTCACCTTTTTTTGATAGACTTGTGACTGGCGGCAAAAAAAGGATCTTTTATCGAAATGTTAAGAGTCGTAGACAGTGGCTTGGTAAAGGGGAAGGACCCCAGCCACAGTTGAGAATGGAACTTCATGGGCAAAATGTTCTGGTTTCAATCTTGTGGGATCGCCAATGAATAATCCACTTTGAATTCTTACCACCTAATGCAATAATTAATGCTCAAATATACTGTCAGCAATTAGAGCGTTTGAACCAAGCTTTGAGGAAAAAATGACCTGCTTTAGTGAATCGAAAAGAGGTGATATTTCATCAGGACAATGCGCGACCCCACACAGCAAGGATCATGTCACAAACGATCGAAGAACTTGGTTGTGAGAAAATTCCTCATACACCTTATCCTCCCGATCTTGCTCCTTCAGACTACCATTTGTTTCGTAGCTTACAGAATCATTTGGAAGAAACAGCTTTTGTAACACAGGAAGAGGTTAAAACTGACGTTTGTGAGTTCTTCGAATCCACGCCAAAATAATTTTACAGTAATGGAATTAGTAAGCTTGTTAATAGATGGAAGGAAGTCATAGATATCAGGGAAAATAAATTGTTGATTGAATCTGTAATTAAATGTAACATTTGGTCACTTGTTTTCTTTATTCAAAATTCAGACAGAACTTATAGGATGACCTGATAGTAAGCTTGTTAATAGATGCAAAGAAGTCATAGATAATCAGGGAAAATACATTGTTGATTGAATCTGGAATTAAATGTAACATTTGGTCACTTGTTTTCTTTAGTCAAAATTCGGACAGAACCTATGGGATGACCTGATATTTAAAGTGTGTATACATTTTTTGAGACACCTGTATATTCCTTTTGCGTTGACTTTTGCTAATGAACCTCATGATAAAACGGAATTTAATGCTAATCTTAAAAGTAAATTTTGCGCGCAGAAAAGGAGTGATGATATATTTTTAATATTCAATTTATGTGTCAACTAGAATCATTAAATGACCGGTAGACGGAAGTGAACTGCTGTCATCTGATCTCAAATGAAGGTCACTGGATACAGTTGATAAGAATATTTAATCATTATTCCTTTTTTCTCTAATTTCAGGATATGAGCAATCATAACACTCCACAACTTCATACTTTTGTTGTTTTCAGATTAGGTTTTTCTTTTCCATGGACTGACTCACTAGTAACAATTATGGAAGCAATTGTGGACAGGGAATAATTGCTGATTGGAATTCATTGGATATTTATCAGAATAAAAAATAAGGATTTTTTTTCGAATTAGAAAAGGGGACTGTTCATAATAATTATACTGTGTCAAATCTATTCCTGAATTTTACAGAGTCATTTGAAGACCATTTTCTTATTTCAAAATGTCACACCATAGAAATGTTATTACGTCATTGCCTATTATTAAATTTTTTGTTAGTTTGTGTAAATGTGTAAATAAATATTTTAAAATGGGTACATGTGTTTGGTAAATAATTTCAAAAAAAATCTTTTTTATGAAAATAATAAAAAAAAAAAAAATTTCGTCAAACAAGTTCATTAAAATGTTTTCTTAAAATAAAAATAGAATTGTATATATCCGGGTTTTTTTTTATAATATTTAAAAGACATTTTTTTTGTAAAATAAGAAAAAGTAATTTTTCATACGCAGGTATCAATGCCAGACCGCACAGTTTGAAAGTAGAAATTTCTAAACATACAACTAAGTTCCAATGAATTTACAAAAGATCAGGAGTCGATTTTAGACTCGATCGATATTATGAGCAAGAACTCATTCTAAATTGATTATTAAATTCGGACTATGAAAGTGTCACAGATTACGAAATGTCCCAAAATGTTAAACTACACAAATTATTTCAAAATGTGTGTGTTTTTTACGGGGGTGCTGTTAATATTTTTGTGGGGTGGGGAGTTTACTTTTTAAGGGAGCAGTTTAGGACAGTTTACTTCCGGTTTTCTTCATTTTTTTGTTTTTCTTCTACTATTATCTGTTTTTTTTTGTTTTTATTTCGTTTGTTTTTTGTACAGAGAAAGTAAATTAAATAGAAAATTTATTTAAGTAAATAGAAATTTTATTGAAAAATAAATTAGGAGTGAAGATTCTAGAACGAAAGAAACAAAGAAAAAAAAGAAAAGAAAAATAAAGTTTAGAAGGAAAATAAGAAATACATAATGAAAGAAATGCAGAAAGAAAAAAAAAAAAGAAAGAAAAACAAAAATAAAAAAAATAAAATGAAGACAGAAAGAATGAAATTCCGAAAATAAAGAATGAAAGAGGGGGAAAAAGAAGGAAAAAATAAAGAACGAAAGAAAGAAGTAAAGACATGTTGGATTAAAGAAAGAAAGAAAGAAAGAAAGAAAGAAAGAAAGAAAAGGAAAAATGGAAGAAGGAAAAATGGAAGAAGGAATAAGGGAAGGAAGGATGGAAATAATAAATAAAGAAAGAAAGAAAGAAAGAAAGAAAGAAAGAAAGAAAGAAAGAAAAAGAAAAAAATAAGTATAAATAAGAAAAAGGAAATAATGATGGAAAAGAAGAAAATAAAGAATAAGAAAGGGGGCGGGGGCCTTTTATTTATTTTACGGGGCGGGTACAGTTTGCATGCGTTTTTTCTTCATTTCTTTGTTTTTTTATACTGTTAAGAAATGTCCTGTTGCAATTGTATTTAGTTTTCTACATTTATTATAAATATATTGTTGGCTAGAAATCCTGACCACTAACATTTTCAATCCACTTTTGTGTCTGTTATTGTCACACAAATTCTATAAATTAGTCGATCTTCTCCGCCGATTCTTTTGCCCTCAATATCTCATATGACTGATTCATTATCCAAAACACTCGTCTCGTTATATGTCCCAGAATTTTCAACAAACTTTTTCTAATCTATGTATAAATGTGTTTTTTCAGTTATTTAAAACTTCCTGACTTCAAATTCACTCATGATCCCACTTGAATGGGATTTAATAAGAGATCACGTTTAAACTGAGAGTCTCGCGCGTACATGAGATTAAGAACAAGCATTTTACAAATTCAATCGACATTTCCTCATTGGACTTTAATTAACGCTAATCCTCTATTAACCATTCAAAGTATATTCTCCTTATATTGCAAAAAATGTTATGTGGGAAAGGCATCACGTGATCGAAAAACCCGCATCTCCAGACATTTGAGATATTTGCCTTTAGAGAATCGTTCAAACTCTCTCGAATTAGACGAAAACAAAGCTGGCCACAACATTGATTTTACTAATGCCACCCTTATTAAATAAGAACATAAATATTTAAGGAGGAAATACTTTAAATGATTAATAATAATATTATTACAATCTATAAACACTTAAATAATTACATTACAATACCATCATTTCGTGAATTCAATCTGAAATAATCTAACTTAATACAGACAGTATGTACATAAAAAAGAGCCCCAGATTAATCGAATGTCACCTCTCTACGCCGACTGACCACACAAAACACATTAGAAGTGCTCCTACTAGACAGACACACATACACAATTACGAATAACCATTACCATCCGATGCCAGCTTAGAGATATTAACATTTTTTCAAACTTACATATGGAAGTAACTACGGTTTTCATGCACGTGATACGTGACTAACCAATGAGAATCTAACCTCACCAAACTCAAAATACCAACATTCTGTCTTTTGGCTGTTTTCTATGGTGAAGCTTTCAAAGACATTGAAACTTTCGTCAAATAAAGTCATGATTCCACAAAGCTGATTTTTCTGATGTCACAACCTTCTTCTTCTTCTGCTTCTTCTTCTTCTTCTTCTTCTTCTTCTCCTTCTTCTTCTTCTTCTTCATCGTGCCTTCTGGATATAAGCGGTCATTGTTCTCCACAACTTTCTATTTCGTGTAGCTCTTAGAAATTTTTCTCCCTTTCCTACGTTTCACACTCTCTTACGCCATCAGATTCACAAAAACTTGCCAGGTAAACGGCACGCTGCCTACCCGTATCTTACTTGTCCTCACAATGCCCCGTCGGGTATAAGTTTTCCAAGCCCTTCTATCGCATCATGGGTCCAAGGAAATTGTGAAAAATCAGCGAGCAAATGCGAGAGCCGCATATGCCCACCCGACGTCGTAATTTGGGCAGGCCTATACTAGAAACTAAGAAGGGTCCGTTTTATATTAGAATGTCTAAACAACAGGTCCTCTTTGCACTAAAATCTAAAAAAAAAACGGTAGGGATAAGTCTGATTTATCCTGGAGTAACAGAAATTAAACAAGTAATACTAGATAATACTAGAATAACAAAAAAGGTATAAATTGGCCATCTTAAATCTAGTTTTATAAAAAAAATATGTCGATATAGATCCGGTTTGCACCTGTATCTAAAGGTATTTATTTAGACTAAGAGCAATCTGGCCCCTCTTTCTGAGATACAGTCATTATGCTCATTGCCGGCAGGGCAAAGGGAAAAGGATCTGGTTATTTCTCTAATGACGGCTCTAAATATTATAACATCATGGCAATGAGTAAACGGTTCGTCCCGGCATTCAGAACTACATATTCACAAAAATATTTAAATTACTTTACATGAGGATTATTCATGATGTCCTTAATTTCTCAAGCATTTTTATTAATTAACGTTTCAGAATCGATCAAGACCTGAAAGTATACAACAAGAACTTTGAATCATTTTAAAACGTCTTTAAAATTATATAAAATCTTTTAATCTTGAAACTTAAATGCTTTTTCTTTTACAGAGCACACATCTACAATAGAATGCAGTGAATAAATACCAAGCATATGCGAAATAAATAATATATTATATATATATATATATATATGTGTGTATATATATATATATATATATATATATATATATATATATATGTGTGTGTGTGTGTGTGTGTTTATATATATATATATATATATATATATATTGCACAATAAAAAAAGATATTAAAAATGAAAATCTTCAGACACACTTTCGTTTTTTATTATTATTTCATTTATATATATATATATATATATATATATATATATATATATATATATATATATATATATATATATATATATGTATGTCATTTTACCATTTTACATTTCAAAATTAAAGCCTTTATTTCGACACCAGCGGGAATTTTCTCTCAAGAAGATTAAATTAATTTTAATTTCTCTTTAAACCATCGACAAAAAACATAAGAAACTTATCGAAATCGAGCAATATTTATTGGAAATTTATTAAGTCTTTATAAGAACAAAAAACAGAATGAAATAGCAAAATTTTAATAAATAAAATATTTTATTTGTTTTAAAATAAATTTTAAAAATTTATAACTGAAAATATTAATACTTCATTTCCGTTTTGTTTTTTCATATTGGGTTTATTGTTAAAGTAGATGGAAATCGTTTTATATGTCGAGATTCAGTTATTCTTCTTCTGAAAGCGGATTCAAATAGATGTAGGTCACAGGTGTCAATATAGCATAAAATATTTGGTTCAAATAGTGAGTCCGTTTCTTCAGGTTTTTATAATCTATTTCTGTTTTACATTACCATATATCCTCTCGTCTGATAAATGGTATTTATAAACAAACTGATCTCGCAAGGTATTGCGACAAAAAACTCATCCAGTGATCATTTGTACCTCTGGGGACCGTCTTTGATCAATATGAAATATACTTATCCAATTACCCTAGGAGTCATACTCTTGTTTAAGCTAGAATTTAATTCATATGAAAGGGAAAAATATCAGTCTGGATGTGCACCTCCTTTATCGCCTTTGATCAAAACGAAATATGCTTATTCAAGTACCCTGGGTAATGTAGTTTCAGGAAATATATGGGTATGGGGGCCTATCCATAAAACTTTAGTAGGAGTTCGATGACAGGCAGCAATGTGGAGTAATGGATAGCGGCTTGGAATCGCTGAGCTGAGTTCGAATTCCAGTCAAATCCATTACATTCACTTACGTGCTAATAGCCTTGGGAAAGGTATGAATCCTCTTCTCTCTCCAGCTATGGATGAAATAGCAGGACAGACTGGATTCTGTAGGCTTGGGTGGCAACTGGTCTAGGAGAAGGACAACTCTGAATTCAAAACCTGCAGAGGGTCGTTTGGGAACCTTGTGGCATTCGGTGCACCAGGTCTCTGTATTCGTCCCTTCAACAAGTGTGGATGGTCCTGCACGAGGCCTTCAATCAAATCTCATGTGCCGGTGTCGGGCTGTCGGTTTCCTGGAAACTGATTTGCTTGACCCTCATACGTCGAATTCGACGGGAGAGTCGACTATATATATATATATATATATATATATATATATATATATATATATATATCTGTGTCTTTACATAAATATATGTATATGTGAATGTGGACACTGTGGTCATAAAATAGCGTTGACAGTCTGTTTCATATTTGCATGTAATCTTTAAGCCATGTGTACTATGTTTAAGCTCTAGTATTTATATCTGCTGCCAATGGTACATTTATTAGAAGCAAGGTATGTTGTATTACCCGATTAGTTATTGCACAAACGGACTGGTTATGCTTCAAATCATGCTTGAGTAATTGTTGATTTCCTAGATTTTTACATATTATTTATTACACATTGCCTGAATATTGCATTTATGCATCAAATGTACTGTTTGTTTTAATAATTGCATCCCAAGGAAGGCATTAAAGCCACTAAGATGCACTTTGATTAGATCTGCAGACGGAGACACTAACTTCTTCGACATTATAACAGGGGTCATTTAGGGTGACACCATTGCATCTTTTTGTTATCTCCCTTGACTACGGAGTGAGGCCTTCTGTCAACGAACATCTTCTAGGATCCACTTTATCAACAAGATTCTCAAGTAGGTATCTTGAAAAAAGTTGCCGATATCGACTATGCATATGACCTAGCTATAAATGCATACACCATTACCAATGCCACAGCTATTGCGCATTATTTAGAAAATGTTGATAATGATGCAAATGCTTTTAAAAACGAATTAATAAGCTTCAACCAACAAAGCTCAATAAAAACTGTCTCAAGTGAATGAATAATATCCGTCGAATTTTTACATACCTCGGAAGTGATATAAATTATGCTGTAAAATTAAAGACTGACCTATCTTGAATAAAATGAAATCTGATCTACCAAACAACGAGATTCTTTCACGTTACTGTAGAGGCGTATATGGTGCCTCTGGACATTAACTAAAACCTTAGAGTCTATGCTTGATGGAACCTACACTAGGATACTGAGAGCTATAATTAACTTTTCTTGGAGACAATATCCAACTAAATCATAGCTTTATGGACTCACCCCTGATATTTCTACAATCTTGCGTATACTCCAGATGCGCTTTACAGGACACTTCTAGCGAGAAAATCAAGAACATTCGACGGATCTACTGCTCTGGTCATTTAACCGTATCGCAAGACAGATTGGTCGCCCAGCAAACACCTACATTGATCAGCTTTAGAATAATACATACTGGCACCTTAATGACCTTCCGACTTTCATACAGAATCCTGATGGTGGGCGTGATGGATACATGAATGTCCGGGCTAGCTTGACCGAATAGCTATGAAGCATGGTTTT